GCCTGTCTGCCACGCGGTCTCCCTCCAACCGTCTGGGCTCAGAGGTACAGCAAACTTTCCTGCCCAAATCCCTGGGTTCCTTTTACCTTTCCAGGGGAGTTCTGCTCTTCCCGGCTGCAAACCGTCTCACCAGCTGAGCCCTTTCGCCACCTCGGGGTGGGTGCTATTAGTTTCAGCTGCTCAATCCATTTGCTCCAGGACATGACCTGGGACGCTTCTGCCTATATCGCCGCCATCTTCTTTCTCCTCAGGAGATACTACTTTGAAGTGATGGAAGAACATATGGAGATTTTTTCTTGTCAATTATGTAAGGTTTAGTTTGTAAACTTCCCTATGGTTTGAACAGGGTCTTCTTCAGGAAATGGGAAAGTTGGAACAGCTTCCACAAAGTACTATGATGACATATATTTTGATTCTGATTCTGAGGATGAAGACAAAACAAGTAAGTAAAATGTTTACCAGGTTTAGCAGTTTATCTAGGAATTATTTTGTATTAGGATTTCCCTATGTTTGATTTTTTTCAAAGAAATTGCAGGCTGCTGATGTGAAAACAAAAGCAGAATCGATGAATAAGAACAGGTGTGGTACAAATATTGAACTGTAATGTTGTACACCTTGAAATATATATAACCTTGTATACCAATTTTACCACAAAAAAAAAAAAGAACAGATGGGAACGCATACACATGAGGACCAACACTGGCACTGTATAGGCACAACTCGGGAAAGGGAGAGTATGTTCCAACTCAGGGCTCTTGGCACCCCCACTTCTCTCAGGTTCCCTAGCACAGCAACATTTGTTTTCAAACCTGCTAATAGTTTCTATATTTTTTTTTACCCCCCTTGCAGAATCCTCCCTAACTTGATTTAAAAAAATATATAATTTTATTGCTTTCAGAGAAGAAGGGAGAGGGAGAGAGAGTGTGAAACATCAGTGATGAAAGAGAATCATTGATTGGCTGCCTCCTGCACACCCCACACTGGGGATCAAGCCCACAACCAGGGCATGTGCCCCAACCAGAACCCTTCATTCCTCAGGCCAACGCTCTATCCACTGAGTCAAACCAGCTAGGGCTCGTTTTTTCTTAAAAATTAACCTCTATTCTTTGGAATTGGTTTTGTATAAAATTTGAGTGAAGATGTACATATTGACAAGACCTGAAACTAATTTACTATATCAGTAATTACACTGGACTACACAAATAATAAATTTATTTGGTAAAGTAATAATTTTATATATTATTAAATATTGACGTGCTCAAGCACGCTTCAGTCCACAGGCCGACGCTCTAGCCACTGAGCCAAATGTACTTCATCCTCAAGTACATTTTAAAAGTCTAGTATAGCCAAAACCGGTTTGGCTCAGTGGATAGAGTGTCGGCCTGCGGACTGCATGTCCTAAGACCATGTTTGTGACACAGATTCAATAATCGGTTCTGGATGGCTCCTCCCAAGCCATTTCTGATCATTTACTTCCATTTCATTCCAACAGGCAAGAGAAAATGTGAGATAACACACACCACACACACACACAGACACACACACACACACAGACACACACACACACACTCAGTTATCTGTTTCTTTTAAGATTGTCTATAAAT